AAACTGAGCCACTCATGTGGTTTTTCCAATGTACAGGTAAACTGAATGTTTAAGCTTACCTATCATTCTTAAATTCTTAGAATGATTTGGCAAACAATTTGTGGGCTATGGCATCTGCTATTGCAGGACAACTTCATTTTAAAATAGATTCTGAGCATTAAAGGGAACTCATATTCCTCAAAGTGAATGTGTGAAGCATACAGGAATCAATTGACAGTTAGGGTTATGGTTGCTATTTCACTTTTGCTCCTTTGGCACAGAGCACACAATCTGCTATAATATAGTAGGAATGAGTGGGATGCTTTGTCATTCCCAATTAAGAGGCTTGTTTCCATTCAGTGCTATTATCTCAACAGGAGGTCAGTTTTACAGCTCTTGATAATACCAAACATAGTACACAAATGCACTGAAATTCCAACAGCTGCTTTTGTTAGAAAAAAGCCACTTCAGAAGCAACACAAAAAGCACAGAAAGCCAACTGTTCAATGAGAAAAAAACATCAAGACCCACAATTGGGCAATGTCATTATTAAGACCAACCACCTTGTCATGAAATAGTCTGCAAGCCTGTGCTTTCTCACAGGTTTGAAAGCACCCAAAATTCTGCACATGATATTGTAACATGTTGGTTGGCCCTAATAAAAAGTATTACCCAAAGGTGGCTTTGGATTTTTATTCCCCCACTGACAAGTTGGGCTAGCATTGCTTTTTATGTGCATTGGAAAATACCATATTTAACTGCTGAAAGTGGAATCTGTAGCCAAGGCAGGAAGATTTCCCATTTTTTGAAGAGGGGCTGTGCATGTTGAGGCTTCCATTTCCCTAAAGCACTGGTAATACTACACAATGTGGCTTCAACTGACCCTTTTACCTGGTATAAAGACTGTGATCTCCTTGAGATGGATGTGAACTGCAGACATCATGAACCTAACTACTGGTCTAATTTATGTGCATTTTCCCCCTACTGCTGTTAATTGTACCATCAAGCCCAATGCAGAGTTCTGGAGAGCTCAGAAGCTTTCACAATACGCTTGCAATATTTTGCTTGGTCCTACTAAAGCTATTGCTCTGGTGTGTGTTTCAGAAGAGGGTAATCTTGAATTGAGAACTACTGACTCCATGCAAGGGTTTTCAGATGCAAGCTCTGCCATGAGGAGAAAAAGTGATGCTGTTGCAAATGGAAAAGCTGCTATCAAGCAAAAAGCTAAGAATCCACTCCTCTGAAAATACGAAATGAAACAAAGTATTGTTGTCATCCCTTAACCTGAAAACCTGAGGAAACTGACAGTGTTTCCTGATAATCTGTAATTCCACTAGTGGAATCCATTTCCCAGCATACAGATGCTACTAATTCCACTGGCTAACAGGCAGGAAGTCATCTACACTGGAAATAATTGATGACTCATTACCAACGATCCATGCCAGAATAAAATAACAAAGAAAGAATAACAAGTTGGTTGTCATAGTACTTTCACTCTCTAGACTTGAGAAAGGTTTTTTTAGAACAGGTAGAAAAGCAGGAGAGAACTCTAAATTCAACAGATAGATCAAAGCAGTTGGATGCAGCATTCCAGCACTAACTTTTTGCTCTGGCTGACAAGTAGGCCTGAGCAATTAAAACATTTGTTCCATTTGAAAATAGAGGGCACCAGTATCAAGTTGCAAATATTTCTCCTACCAGTATCTAAAAACCTGGCATCTATGAGGGAAACAACTGCAGTTCCCAGATCTGTGGTAAACAGGACTTGGAGATAAATGGAAACTAATTTCAGGAGAAAGTGAATTTTAAAAAGTGATTTCTATCCAAAGATTTGATGGCAATATTCTGTTATCACCAAAATAACATTGTGAGTTTTCTCTCACTCCCCTCAAAGATAACTATGTAAATAAGCCATCTAAAACAATCAAATTCTTAGCTGATAAACTGATAGGATCTTCAAATTGGCCATTTGGGTTTTATTGATCTTTAAATATCCTATGAACAAGACCCTATGTAATGGAAATTTGTTATTCGATTATAATGCACCAGTTAAATGTTACAGAATATTACTGAAACAGAGACAAAAACAATAGAATGACAAAATGCATTGAATTTTCCTGAACAATTCAAATACATAACTTTAGGCCCGGACAAACAACTTCCAGATGTTTTGGACTACATTACCACCACCCCCACCATTGGCAATGAGGCTGATGGGGGCTGTAGTCCTTCCAGCCCCAACTTGTCCTACCCCTGCTTTAGGATCTAGCCAGATACAAAATGGGGCAAACCTTTCTTCCACTCCCACTTTCTCCCTGGAAATCACCTCCTCACTGTGTTCTTGTTGAGTATTTTGTTTTGCTTGTGCAGCTCGCTTCTGGTCTATGAGCCCATAAAACAAATGGAGTGGGGAGGAGAGTTTTGAGCGGAAATGCACGGGCAGGGGAAATACAGAGTGCTGAGGCTGCAGGTTGCCCTTGCTTTGTCTCTGTTCATTGGTGCCTCTTCTAAGTAGTGTCACCTCTAACTTGCTTTTTATGTGTTTTTGTTGAACGAGTTTGCTACAGCAGTTTTTACAATTTTAAAAATTTGCTAATTACATTTTACTGTCTTCAAATTACAGACGAAATAACCTTATTGCTGTGGAAAGGATAACATCAAGGGACAACTGCTGCATGGACTTTCAAGTAAACAGGATATGCAGACGACATTTTCAAGTGGTTAGCACACATACAGTAAGGGGCAGGCAAGAGGCAGTGCAAAGTTTAAACATACTTATTGTGGTTATCACATGTGGAGACATTCCTTCAGCAAAATTCCATCTCAGTTTAAAACTATGCAAGGAAGTTTGCATTGCCTCTGGAATAACCTTTACAGAGATGATTATCAAAACTGGTGTAGATATTGCTATGAAACAGTGGCTCGGCTTAAGCAAAACCAAACCTAAGACAGTTCTGAAAAGGCATTTAGTCCTATTTGCAAGAGTTGCCTCTCAATACCTTTGCATTATTACTCCAAAGACTTTGCATATTGAATCTACATAAGCCCAAAGTTTTTCATATTCCTGACTTATTTACTCATATTGTTTGTTGTGTGTAAACACTTTTTGTTCTATTTATTCTTAATACATATGCATCTTTAAACATTATTAAAGATACTGGGGAAATTAATGTAATGTATATGAGTAAACAACAATATATGTAAGGAATGTATGATACCAGTGCAAAATGAAGACCATATTGTTCATAATGCTATTGGGATATTTTGAGATTGTTTCTATCATATTAAGGACACTTCTATGAGCCATATAAACAAACTTTCAATTTTATAACAATTACTTATACTATCAACTCTCAAAGCTGAAGCTTTTACTATAGTATAGTACTATAGACTATAGTAATTTAGTTTCTATGGATTCTTCCAAGAACATATACAGGGATTCTAAAGCAACAAGGAATTACAGGTGAACCTCGAATTTCACAGGGTTTAACTTTCGCATATTTGATTGTTCACGAGTTTGCCATTAATAAATTAATGGATTTATTTTTTTTTTAGTTTTGCGGCATACTGGAGAAAATTGTCATCACCATAGAGAGAGGGGAAGTGGAAGGGGAGAAAGGATGGCCTCCAAAACATGCCCTCTTGTCCCGCCCATCCAGAGAAGGAAATCCCTTCTTGGTGCAAAGAGGAGGGACTGATGGGTGAAGGGGAGGGCAGAGAATAAGAACATAAGAATGTAATAAATGAAAAGGAGCCCTGCTGGATCAGACCAAGGTCTGAGAGAAACAGACAGAGACAGAGAGGTCAACAATATTAAGAGTTAAGGTTTGGGAGTGCTGGAGAGATTTGTGGTTTTTCCACTTTCATAAGGGTCTTGCACCCCAACCCCTGCAAATGTAGAGGGCCGACTGTAATTCCAAAAGGAAAATTGGAAGAGAACTAGTAAATATGACTGAGTTTTAATTTAAATAATTTTCAGATGGAAATGGCAGAATTCATATTAACATAAATATGTCCACAGGTTAACATAAGACAAACATGCCATGCTTAAACTTTCTGCCAGAACACAGTAGGCCAGACAAACATGGTCAAAGAGTAACCAAAAGAAAAAGAAGTGAGCTTTCTCCCCTAAATCTGTTCTTTCATGGGTCTGGTCTTTGGCATTTTAGCACTGTGAATGCTGTTCTCCCATCCACAAATCCTGCTGCATATTTATTACATCATCAAAAACACTACCACTTTAAAATCAGAAACAATGCTATATAATGCACCGAACAGCAGAGTCAGACACTGCTGGCTGCTCATTGGCTGTGCTTAAACATGCTAAACTATGCTTAGAACTATATGAAGGCGCTCTTGGGCTTCACAGCACCATCCCTTCCTTCTCCTTCTGCAGAGCTCAGAAGCTTTAGTTTTGCTTTCAGCTCAGAAGCTTTAGTTTTGCTTTCAGCTAATCACAGCTTCCCATTGAAAATCCTAGTTTTGAACTAATTATGGTCAGTTGCAAAACAAACCATTTCAAATCATGGTTTATGAGGCTGGCTTGCTTAAATACTAGCCATGGTTATGGTCCCAACTGTAGTCAAAACAAGAAATTACAGTTCAGTAAAAGCTTCCAAAGTTCTCCTTCTCTTCGACTGGAAGGTAAGGGGAACAGCATACATGCTCAGGAGCTTAGCTTAGTATAGTGCTACAGCCAAACCCAGCCATTTTGTATTTTCATTAAAAACATATTTCAATAAGCAAGCAGGTACATCTCAAAGTTTCTCAATATGACTTTGTCTGTAAAAAGAATTTCAGTTGTTTTAACTTGTGTGTTATATCATCAAAGCAGAATATACTTTTTTTAAAGTTATGTATAAAAATATACTGGCCATGAACTCCCCTGGGAAGCAAAAAAGATAATCCACCAGGAAAGTGTGTTTTACTTCAAGTAAGTCAAGTGGCTGCAATGACACAGAGATTAAAACATACAGAGAGGCTGTTGATAAAGTGGCAATGCGTAACAATCTTCAAATGTGTTATAAAGGTGCTATTGCCTGCAGTTCTTCCTTGTGGATGGGACAATGAAGTTCTGCTTTACATACTCCAGGCACTAGGGATTTGGTGGCAGCGAGCAAAGGAGGCTCTTCTTCTCCTAGGAGAAATGGTGTTTGAAATACCCTGTTACTTGAGTTCTTCAACTTGATGTCAAAATATAGCAAAATGTAACACCATTATTATTGTCGTTATTGTTACTGTTATTATTTCTTCCAGAAATGTAAAGAGAAAAGAGCAACCCCTGCAAACAATGCATATGATCTATGTAGATCAGAACAGAACAAAACAAAAAAGGGGGGACAGGGACCCTGAAAACAAAAGCAAAGTGATGCTCACAAAAATTTCCTGCACCCATCCTCCCCTCTAGAACCATTTGCACCTGAAAGGTCTTTCCATAGGGTTAAGAGACCATTTTGAACAGTGTGCAATAGATCTGGGGGCTATAGAGAAGGGACATTTGCCAAAATCAGACAGAGGCAGACACTTTGTGCAAGGTCCAAGCCTATGAATTTGCACATTGGTCAAACTGCAACAGGCACCAACCATGGATATTGACAAGAAGAGCCTGCAAATAGGTTATTTTTGTTACTTTGCCTTCACTTGACAGCTGTCAAATAAGAAGCTGCCAAAGAAAAGGAAAGCTGGAAGGAGTCTTTGCTTGCAAAAGGGGAGATCCTCCTTTGCACTGAGATCTTCAGGGTTTTTAGAGTTCCCTCCAGAGTTCCCAGTGTCTTCATCTTTTCCTCACTTTTCTATGAGTAAGTTACTCAGGAAAGTGAAGAATATGAAGCAAGCTCTTCATGTTTGCCAGTACTTCTTTCGATAGCTGTCAGAAGAAAGGCTTGTTTTTTAAAAACTCTCTGGCAAATCTCTGTATTTGTTTTTAACAGGGAAATATGTAGCCATGAATTGGTCTATACGGCTAATGCTGAGAGGGAATTATGCTAGCTGAAGCCCAACACATCTGGAGGCCAGGATGGGAAAAGTTACGTCAGCTGCAGGTGCGCTGCATCTCTTCGCCATTCCAACTTACCCAGTCCTGATGAAGAGGAAACACTCCCCGTAATGGAAGAGGTTTCAGTTTGGTCTGCTAAGAGCCCTTCCATTAAAGGTAATGACAATTCAGATGAAGGAACTGAAGAATCATAAATTCCGGAATCTCGGGGCATATCTGGGAGATTGGCAGCTTTGACAACATGTAGTAATGGTTGAAGAATGGAACTACCATTCTGAACATCCTGAGAGTCTCTCTCCTCTCCGAGATTCACATGCTGTAGCACACAATGAGAGTCTGGATTTAAAGGTGGAATAACATTTGCATCTGCTGCCAGATAGAAATCCCCGTCAGCTACTTGTTTGTTGACTAAGTCATTTAGCACCAAACCAGAGTCAAATTTCTCCATCACAGGCTCTTGGTAATGCAAAGGAGCTGGGCAAAAAGGCACAAACTGTTTTTCAAACCAGTCAGGCTCCTGGTCAATGTACTGGTGCATGTTACAAATGGCTACATAAAGGGACCGTCCTGATTTGCTCCTGAAATAATTTCTTTTGCTAATGTGTACAGGATACAATTCTGAATCATGAAGGCCACTATCTCTGGACTGTAGATGAGAGTAAAGCTGAGGCAGGTTATCCATGAGCTTATACTTTCTCGTTAAATCCAGAACACCAGGAATGTCATTCTCACAGGAGTAATCGAAGTAGACGGCAATGAACTTGCAGAGATCATGTGAATCCTGCTTTGCATGACGCAACTTCTCTGCTATTGTACCAATGGCATACAGAAAAAGTTCTCCTTTCCCAGCATCCTTTTCTCTAGATCCCTTGTGCTTCCAGTTCTTTTTCTCCACAAAGTATTTCATTCCTTTGGAACACACAATGATGATATATTGGGATTCATTGATTTTTCGATGAAGCCACTCTTTTTGCCCTTCTTTGCAAATCCTCAGATCTTCCCATAAATCTAAAGAAACCTAGAAAAAGTAGATTACAGTCCTTGAATAACAGACTGACATTCAATTAACATATGTTAATGAACATGTACATTTATGGAACCACAGAGAGAAAATGCATCCTTCTCTGTAGCTCTGTAGTAAATGCTTTCCAATCACTAAGTGCTTTTATGAGCATAAAACACCTTTAAAGATTCTTAAAGAAATTATGGAATATGAAGGAGAATCGGCATAGATATTAATGATAGAAAGTACACATTAAAGAGCAAGCTTCAAGAACGTTCTTTATAAACCAACGCATCTGCAGGGGCTTGGAATATCTAATTTAGCAAAGTACCATGATGCGATTACATATGTAATGCATTACTCACAATGCACATGGCTCCACTAAAACTAGGCACTTTCATTAAATATCATGTAGCAGCACTACCATATCTAACACATCAACCAACTGTTCTTAAAAATATTCTGAGTCCCTTTGCCATAGCATATCTACAGATCAGGACTATCTGCACCAGCCATCCCGCTTTTCCTTGTTTTTTGCCACCACGCTCATTTTACAGCAGAACTAGGGAATAATTTAAGGTCTGGAAACAGAAGAGGCCCTACATGCTTACAGATCTCTATAAAGACGTGATACCCCTTACAGCATGGGTCCTCATACTATGGCCCACGGGCCGGATCTGACCCATGCTGATTTATCCAGCCCACTTCAGAACTTTTGGACTCATTCAGAGAAAATGATCCCCGAGCGAGCCCAAAAGCCCTGAGCCAGCACAGGCATGCTCAGTGGGGAGATGGCCGCGATCACGGTCACGCTCATGCAGGGAAGACGGGTGCGATGGTGGTCGTGCTGTGGGGGGGGAGAGGGGAATGGCCGTTCTTTCTCACCTCATCTTGGGCTTCTGCTGCAGCCCAAGCAATCGAAGCAAACATTTTTATTTTTTTAATGTTTAATTTTTAATTAATTTTAAGTACTTTGTAATTTATTTTAATTTTAATGAATGTTTAATGTGCAGTGTGCATAGGAATTCATTCATATTTTTTTCAAACTATAGTCTGGCCCCCAACAGTCTGAAGGACAGTGAACTGGTCCCTTGTTTAAAAAGTTTGAGGACCGCTGCCTTACAGGATCAGAGCTCAAACAGAAATTAGGAGAAAGTAAAGCTGACTGACTAGGCATCAAGTGATCTATTTTGCTTTAGGGATAGGTCTTAGCTCATCCCTAAATTCCACAGAACAGTTAATTTTAAATATGACATAGCTCTCCAAGAAACTACTGTCAAGCATAAGATTCCATGTGACTCAGTGACTACTGACCTGAACTCTCAGAGTATGGGAAGCAGACCTGAACTGTAACAGAAATGTCAGACTGGCAAAAACTATGGGGAAAATGGCCATTCATATTAATATCAGCAAAAATTATTATTATTATTGTGAGCCACCCCGAGGCTTCGGTGAATGGGGCAGCATAGAAGCCTCCTAAATAAATAAAAATACAAGAAAACAGTGTAACACAGAGAGATGGCACTATATGCCTATAAAATGTTCACATGACTCCAGTTCTCCGTCAGCTTCACTGGCTCCCCATTGAAGTCCGGGCCCAATTCAAGGTGTTGGTAATGACCTATAAAGCCCTAAACGGCTTGGGGCCTGGTTACCTGAACGAGCGCTTACGTCCGTATATGCCCGACCGCCCTTTGAGATCGGCGGGAGAGGCCCTTCTCCAGGAGCCCTCCGTGAGAGAAATTAGGAGGGTGGCTACTCGGAGGAGGGCTTTCTCAGCGGTGGCGCCTAAGTTATGGAATGCGCTCCCCAGAGAGGTCTGCCTGGCGCCGTCGTTATTTGTTTTTTCGGCGCCAGGCGAAGACCTTTTTATTTAAGCAACATTTTAAATGTTAATACCACTGAATTTTATCTGGCCAGGGCGGCTTATTTTATTATGTGTGTTTTAAATTATTATGATTATTTTATATGTATATTTTAACTTATTGGTTTTATTTATTGTTGTAAGCCGCCCCGAGGCTTCGGCGAATGGGGCGGCATAAAAATGTTTTAATAAAATAAATAAATAAATAAAATAAAATAAAATAAAATGTTACATAGTAAATCTTCATTCTAGTCCACTCAGTTGGAGAATCCTATTTCTATATGGGATGGTGTTGCAATAAAGTCCAGTCTCTTGGGAAATTAATTATGAATGAAGCACCTGTCATTACAGGTCACAACTGCCCAGTGATCCCAAATTGGCACTGCAAAACATGGATGTTGTTGTTGTTGTTACATTTAATTAATGCACTTTTCTTACAAGGAACCCAAGGTAGCTTGCAAGGTTTTTATCCTCAGAACAGCAAAGCTATGAAGTAACTTAAGCTGAGAATCTGCAACTAGCCCAAAGTCACCCACTCAGCTATGATGTTACTTGTTGATTATTTAAAGGACCTGCTAACAGAGATCTACTAATCCTCTTTATGACTGCAGCCTGGCAAGTTCAAATACAGCGTCAGAAATAGTTATTTTGACACTAGAAACTTGGTTGGAGAGGCTACAGAATGTGACCCTCATGGAAAAGTGATCAAAGAAACTTGATTTTGAGGTATCATGGCATATATTTATTCAGTACATTAGGAAAGGCAGTACAGTAAGGAAACAAGCAGCAGAAAACTGATGGCTTTCTCTGGAACAATTTATATATTATTTATTTAAGGTATTGCTATACTGTTTGATTAGACAGGCTCTCACAATGGTATACAAAATTTGTTAAGAAAAGTTTGTTTGTATCATTTCCATACCGTCCAATAGCCAAAGGCAGTTCACAACAATGTAAAGAAGGATAATGTGCACAAGAATAGGCAACATTGCTCAATAATCACAACTATCCAAAATCCAACATATGAACTTAACTTTTTTGGAGTTAAACATAGTCACATGGAATAAAGAGGAGGGCATGGGATTAGTTTTATATGTTTGTTTTATATACTTGTGTTTCTGTAGTACTTCTGAATATGTAAAAAACATTTTTTTCTGGAATGTGACACTCAAACCAAGGAACAAAGAAGATCCTAACAGAGTTAGGGTTCTACTAGGAAACCGATTAAGTCATAAGATACCCTTTGAATAAGGTAGTATCCATCACTCATTCTCAGTTGATGTTTTCTTATATATCCATGAAAAACAAATCCCAAAACCACTGATTACTTTAAAAAAATCTTGTGCCCAAAATCAGCAAGGGGACAAATTACGGTAACTACATTTTATTCTATAGAGTGACCAATAACCAGTATATGGATTTAATGAAACAAAAAACTTTAGTATAGGTATTACAAATTTGAACCTTCAGCAACTCTTAAGCTAGATCCCAGATTCCCAAACACAAAAGGAATTGAAAATTCCAGTAGGCAGGTCAGAGGTAACTGCACACCTCTGGTTCATCATATCCCAAGCAAAGTACTTATTTCATGACTCAGAGGGTCAGCACCCACCCGTCTGCCCGTTTCCTCCTCTGCCTTTGTCATATCTAAGCCAACATAAAGCAGGTATACCATTTTAGACTGTGTGGTCAAGTCATTAACCATACAGAACTTGAGAGAATTAAAAGGGCACTGGCCCATCTAATGGACCAACCACAATGTAGTTGAGATATGAAGTTCAGGGGTTGTCGTGGGGCCAACTGCTGCCTCTTTCACACAAGTTATAAATTGCAAAACTGGCTTTTGCCCCAAGCACCATTATGAGCCCACCAGGCAGAAAGCAGAAGAAATCTGGGTTGCCCAAACTGTACTAGCCCGACCCTAAAGTCCTCAGAAGTCATGAGGCACACACTAGGCATTTTGTGGCGCACATCTTGCCCATTCACTGTGTCAAGGATGTCTCTGTGGAGCTTGCCATAACCGAAGCTCCATCCTTTTGTGAGTGTGTGTAAATATTGCAAACCCCTCTCCAAAAAGTAACAAAAACCGTACAAGGCAGAACAATGATTTCTACCATATTTAACCACTAGAGGTCAGACTTGCTATATGAATCTCTCCATGCAAATAAATACAAAAACAAATATTCAAATACATAAAAATACCAATTAATTTAAAACCTCACAGAGACAGGATTAGCCTGCACAATGAAAACACTAAATAAATCCTGCAGGCTAAAAGTCTTTCCTCATTTTGTCTTTGGCAACTCGAGCTACATAAAAAACATATTATCAAATTTAGAGGGAGAGAAGGTCAGTATCAACACTATTTCAGGAGACAGTATTAAGCTTTTAGGGATGTATACAAAACTAAATAGATGTCATGTTTTGATGTGTGTGTTCTGCCAGTTCTCTTGTGAAGATAGCATTTTTCTATGACCATTTCTAGAACCAGCCATGATGAACTACGCCTGCAATCTGCAGGTTTCTGTACAGGCATGCACAAGCAAGCACCAAGCAGTGCCAACCAGTACAAAAGGTTTACCTCGCAGCCACAGAAGTCCTGAAGGAAATAGGCAAAGCACTGAATGACATTAATGTGTTTCTGACAATCTTTATTGGAATAGCAGATGAATACTTTGGGCCGAGGCCGTTGCCTTTCAACATGAAGAACAGCAGAGTAGTTTGATGATTCTGAACTCTCTTCATCTAAATGGGAATAGATATTTTCTAAATTGAAACAGAAAAATTGAAAGTGAACTATTTACTATCCACACACATACAAGTCTTGCAGGTTTGATTAGGTTTTTTGCTTTGGTTTGTAGATTTAGTGGTTAGTTAATTACAAACCCATTCTGGTTTTCCTTCCAACTTCAAATATTATAGAACCAAAATCTCTTCAGGCATTTAACAAAGATAGCTATTGCTGCTCATTAGAAATATGGATGTCTAATAGGAGAAAGAATTGAGCTGGCCCTACCATTAGAACCAATACAGTGGTACAAATCATTGATGTTAGCAATATGCCTGACCACAAGAACAACGGCCCAATATAGTGCAATGAAAAGCCCTTTCCTAAGCATTAAAATAATGCTACAGGCATGCTAAGCAACAGAGCCCAATAATTACTGAGCACAATCTAAGGGCCAAAGCACAAAAAATCCTGAGGAGAAGAGCACCACCATGTTGAAAGAACCCTACCTTCTTTCAGCACCCGAGCCGAGAAGAATTTCAACCATTGCTGAAGTGGCCATACAACCACTGGTGCTGCTAGGATGTTTTAATTTTGCAGCAGCTTTTAGCTTGGAGAGAAAGCCAACTACTGGATTGGACTGTGGGGCCCACCAGGAGCTGACCACAGCGGTGCCATTGCTACTTTGCAGAATGGCTGTCTCACCATCCCAGAAAAGTTTGCTGAGCAGAACCTGAAGATTCCACCAGCAGAACAGACCAACAGAAGGAACTCTGACAGCTGAATCCAGCGTCTGAATAAATCCAGTCCCTTATGGATAAACCCAATCCCTGCTGTGCACATTCCCCTCTTTAAAAATCATCCTTTAGGAAAAAATGCATACCTTGTTGCTTTTTGCGACACATCACTGTAAAAAGTGTTGCAAATGCTGAGATGACAACCAAGGGAACAGTAATGGCTATTGCTCTGATAGGCCCTGCCCATGGGGAGTGCACTTGGGAAAGAAAAAACAGAAAATACCAAATTAGTTCTTCTCATACTGAAACTCTTTGACAATCTCATCTTCTTGTTCTCATTGCTGGCACTTCTTAATTGGATGGCTGTTTGTCATATTGCTCCGTGAAATAGCATTGTCCTGCATCAACTGTTTTCCTTTATTCTACCATACCGTATGTATCTGAAGCACAAACAGACATTATCCCATTTCTATTAAACTGGCTTCTTAGAAGAACAAACATTATAAGCATATAATAGATTAATGATAATATTAGCACAATTAATATAAACATTACACAAAGATACTCCAATCCAAGGATACAGCACCCATTAGGATTGCTGTTCATACGCTGAAACTATTACTGGATTCCTCCCTATATAATACAAGAACCGTGACAAGAAGAGGAAGGTGTGAACAGACCAATTCTGGCCATTCACCCTCTTCTCCCCTGACTAAAGAAGTTTCAGAGCAAAAGATGAGTATGGAACTAGTCAATAACATTATTTTTTAAATAGCCTTTTGGGGAAAATTTTAAAAGCAATTGCACATAGAGTGGGCATGCTTATATGTTTTTCTTAAGGAGAACAAAAAATCATACCTGGCTTGAGTACATAATGTATTGTTTTCCTTGTGGTGTTGGTATCATCAACCAGCTTTAAGAACAAAATAAAACAAGAACGAGGAAGATCAGTATTAGGCACTCAGGCTTCAAGAAAGAAATGAAAGACCTAGTGGAAAATGTGGACTGGTTCACTCATGTACCAACCGAGTTCTGGCTGCTTGAGATCAAGGAAGATTTCAAAGAGGTAAGTAAATTTGGAGCTACAGTTTAAATGCACACATTTTTAAAAGGAAAAAAAAAAGATCAACTTTAATAAAACCAACCTAAAACTATAAATGTGAGCAAAACCAGGAAATGTTCTAAGAATGTATCATACTTCTAACATGCTGTTCCATAAATTAGTTGTAATGGTCTGTCCATCTTGTAAATTAATTGAGATCTCAAACTGAAAAGGGTTCAGTCATCATTTCAGACAACCATGTTAATGAAGACTAAAAGTTTAAAACTCTGCTTTCAGATCTGGAGTTCCCAAGACATTTGATTTCAGTATCTGTCTCCACCACTACCACCGCAACCCTATTTTTATAAAGGGATGTTAGTAAACATTCTCACCATAGCAGTCATGCAAACATACAGCATCATCCAAATGTACTCCCAACTTCAACAGAGATGCAAAATGACAGCTGCTTTAATTTTACAAGGTCAGTCATTTCTGTCTGTCCCAACTTAGGAAACTACAAATAATGGCATTACCTCAATTATATAATCTCCTGGTGAGACATTTTGAAGAATACAGCTTGTGACATCTGCATTTTTCTCCTAGGAAGAAATGAAAACAAAATTAAGAAAATCACTTTTGTATATTAGCAGAAAATACATTAAACAGATCCAAGCTTGGGCATTTGTGGCACTTTTCAAGCAACTGAAATTCATGTGGAATGATAAAGATTAGTATACCTAAAAGCATCACCATGCTTGGTTTAATGAAAATTTTACACTAATCATAACAAGTTAAGGGTTCAGATCCTATAATCCAAAGCCAGTGTGAACATCAGTGGACAAGGCTCTTTTCCTTCCTGCAGCCAAAATGAAAGCTTTGTTACACTCACAGATTGGCTCTGCCAGATTGGAGCCAACTGTTTCAGACAGCCCAGGAAAGCAAATTCCAAAAATGGATGTACGTGATTGAAAGCAGTGAGCATTTAATTATTGGAAATTCCAACTGTACACTGTCTTATAGCCTACAGCATTCCACCGAAAGCTGCACAACGTCAACCCTATCTTAACCCAGATTTATTTTTTATTGTTCACAAGTCCCCACATTAATAACACAGTAGCAATTTACAAGAATTAAAATTGCCACTTGATCTACAAAACATATTATGCATCTAATAAAGTAGTATGGCCAGGGTGTGTGCTTTCAAATTCTTTAACACTACAGTGTAAATACGCCACTTTAACAGTATATGCAGATATAAGGATCAGAGCAATTCAATTAACAGAAGATCCCATTTCAATTGGAAAGTTATGATCTTGCTTAGATCTCTCTTGAAAATCCTATTAAAGTCACTTAAAGTCCTACTATGTCCCTCGAAACACTGCCAAGCTTGCTGAAGCCAACAGAAGGGAAATTTGCAGAGCCAGGTATGATCTTGGTGTAGAATGCTGACACCAGATTGGAGGGCCAGCCAAAAATTGAAGGGGTTTAGGATCTGGCATAAATGTGCTCCTTCCCTGTTCCACCCATGTCTTGCCTACAACTGTGTCCCGTTTCAGCTTTTCCAGCAGCATGTCTTTGCTGGTGAACAGTTTCAGTCAAAGTCTCTTCTTCTGGCAGCTCTTTGTGGTGCTGGCCTACCTGCTGGCATAGCAGAACTTTGACCAGATCCTACTGCTCCTCAGCACATACAGCTCTGATATAGGATTGCACCCTAAATCTGCTACAAAGGAGGTCCATTCAGCTGTTAATGTATACATCTGTGTAAATCATGCTCAGCACCTGTTTGCAAGTCTTCTGCTTGAAGTGTCCTTCGCTTTTCAGTTTGTAGTGCAGATAATAATATCTGAATCCAAAGTTATGTGGTGCATGGTCAAAAGACACGTGCATATTAAAGCCTTGCTGGGTAACATTCAGATTCCTTGGCTTCCAAACTATCAAGGAAGAAATATTTAGACATTGGTTAATTACTGTTTAAAGAGCATGCAGGTGTTGGGCTTTTTGTACTCTGGTACAGGCATTTTCACTTACAAGGTTTGCAGGCTAAGTTTTCTGGCTGTAGCAGCAATTCACAAGCTAGGGAAAAAAATGCAAAGAAAGAAGAGTTAAAATCTCTAGCCTTACATAGCATACTTTGGCCTTCCCCACAACCCAGATTTCTTTGACTACACTGTTCATCATTTCCAGCCAGCACAGCCAGTGCTCTGGATGATGGGAACCATAGTCCAAGATATCTGAAAGGTGTCCAGTTGAGGAATGCTGCCTTATTACATAAAAAGGTCTGATTTCAGAATGAAGGGATATATACCTGTCTTCCATAGAAGTTTGCATGCAGCTGATCTTTCTTCAGCCTTGCATAGCTTTCAATGTTGAAGCTACACAAGAGGGTCCTGGGGAATCCCACCTATCCCAGAAAGCTTGATTCTAACACTCAGAACGTACAAAATGATAGCACTTACCCATGACATAGCTACACACCATACAAGGAGCAAGAGCCTCCATAGACTAATAAGCTAACTGACCTCACTATGGCAAACAGAAAAAGAAGGCAGCACTTCACGCTCTCTAGCAACAGGTTAACATTGTAGCATCAAACTGCTGAACACCATAAAGAGAGACTACAAAGGATGGGACCAGGTGACTGCAATTGTCATGGGATAGTTCTGTCATCCCAACAGCATACAACATGTGGGATATGAGAGCAGAGGGCGATGTCCTCTTCTACCACGCCCAAACCACACATGTGAGCTTACAACATACATTCCTACACAAACATGAGCTGCTCACACCATCCAGTCGCATAAAAAAGAGTGAGTGTGGGGGTGGGCAGGTTGATGCACAGTGCCCTATTTGCACAGCCATTTATAAGAGTATGGCCCAATTTTCACTCAAGATTGGGATTACAGAGGAAAAGGAGCCTAAAATTCATTCCCACTCCTCAGTGGCAAGACACATACAGATCTGGTTCAAATGAAACAGCAACCAAGAATATGGCTTCTCACTGAATTGTGGCTTCGTGTTGAATTGTAGACAGTTGTGTGAACCCAGCCAGACTAACAAACCAGATTTGTTAATCACAAATAGCCCAGAGTTCACAAGTCAACAACAACCCATGTTTCAACAAATTCCTCTGGTTGAACACATACTCTGGTTGTGGGGCCACAGGAACAACCTCACATGCTAATACATTGTATGAACGAGCCCTCCAATGGTCTTTTAACTTCCACAGCAATCTCTGTGAGAAATCACATACAAAATATACCATTGGTGTCAGCTGAATCTAACAACACTTTCCAAATAATTCCTGTACTGTGGGTTGTGATGCGCACCCCCATCCTTCTAAATCCATTTCCCGTAAGGCATGGATTACAAATAGAGCTGGAAGCATGCAGCCTCAGTCGCTACCTGCTTTAGTAAGACTCAAGCCACAGACATCTATAAAAGCGAAAAACAGTAATTGCAGTTGAACTTACGCCGAGTTCTGAAGAAGAAGGGATGGTAGTTACTTTCATTCTTAATGGATGGGAAAGGAACAATCTTTACAAAGTAATCAGTTTCAAATTTCAGATTTAGAAAAGGCTGCGACTCCACTCCCTGCAAGGGGTGAAATTTAACCCAGTCAGTAACGTATTTTAACACTTCCTATATGGTCATTTCTATGCAGGGAGATATGTTTTCCTAATCCAAGTCCATAATTCCCTTTTTCAGTGATTGAATTACACTGGGGTGAAATGGGGAACTACATCCTTATCTTTTGCAATGGCTCAATTATATACTACCTTAAAGGGAAGGGCTAATATTTCAGCCAGATTCAACTAAAATTGGAAAGAGTTTGGAGTTGTGGGTTGCTCCCAAACACAAGTATTCAAGAATTACTTCTTCATAAAAGTAGAGATCTGCTGATGAAACTAGAAGTCTCTTGATTTGTTTCCAAGGAAGAACCCTCTCCCACCAAAGTAGTAACTCACTTCCCCCCTGGTTTTCTTAGGGCCTATTCCAGCATAGCAAAAGGATGGCAGGATTCCCAGTCATTGGAGTAAGGTAAACACATTTGACCTCAACATTTACAAGCCCCTATATGGACATGGCCAGAGGTGTGGGTGCACTAGGTGACATGGCATGCTTGCCCACACATGTCCTGGCCCCACATTAACCATGCACATGTTGCGGGCCAAACACTTTACACTGATGCAAAGTCAAACCTTTAGGGAAAAACTGGTAGCACCCCACTGGGAGCAACTTCAGTCAGGCTTACTGTAAAAGAATGGTTATGGCATTTTTGGCTTGCAAGATTCAACAACTGATACAGGAATTTGAAAAAAGCGGCAGAATATTTCTCCAAAACACACTACTTACAGTCCACTTATAACTTGAATTTAGCTGCTTTGGGTCCTTTAAAATCAACTGTTGACACTGTCTCCCTTCTGATTTTAATTCTTCAAGTATCACTCGAAATCCCTTCACAAATTCAATACCTGCATATGTATATTTACATGAAAATATGAGTCATATTTATCTTTAGGCTGATTATATTTAAAGACATTGGGTAGCATTCTGTTTGGTCCAAGAGCTCAAGTAAATTATATCCAGCACAATACCAGTAGTGTTTGTCAGCCTGATGGATTTGCAAAGATAGGATCACTGGATAAATCAGTCACACTTAGTGTTGTGCTTGCAGCAAGATATGCTAGCATGATATAATGTATGCTATGCTAGTGACAAATAGGACTCATAAGCTGTCTCCTTTCAGGTGACCTCTAGTTTGCTACTATTAATGGAGTATCATAGAAAACTGATGCACTACCATGGTTCTCACACCCTTGAGTTGAATGCTTGAATGGGCTTTGTGATGTTAAAATGCTTGGTGCCACAATCATGTTTTATCCCTTTTTAAGTATCTCATCAGACTGAACATACTTTTTATTGCAGAATTTACTCAGAAATAGATTTACAATATAGTCTCTTCTCAGACAGCACCTGCAAGATAGTAAACTATTTTGGCCGTACATAGTGTAAACCCATTGAATGAATGAGCCTTAACTTATCCATAATAAATTTAAGTCTCATTAATTTCAGAGGGTGTACTACATGTAGGACTAATACTGGATACTACCCAATGTTGCCAAATTCCAGCCACTTGCCACTTAAGTTTTCTTTCCTTGGGCTTCAGAGGGGGTTCCAAGCACATACAAATCTTATATAAATGGCTACAGAGCTGTTATAAAATGGCAACAACGCTGGATCTTTGAAAGAGGTTTTTAAGAGGAGGAACTCAGTACAGCTGGTCACCAGGGACTCTTTTAGCCATTTGAAATTGTTTTATATTTTAGCATATTAAAGATGTTACAGAGTGATTTTATCATCTTGCTTTGGGGGTTTCAATTTTTGCAAACCACCCAGAGAGTGCTGTGGCTATTGGGCAGTACAGAAATGCAACGAATGAATGACAGATGTATGGCTAATTTGGCACTCTCTGGTGTTTAGGGTAAGGATACCAGTTGTTAAAAGAAAATACAGCCAGAATAAAAGGCCGAACTGAAAGAGTCTAAGCCTAGCATCCGGTAACTGCATGCAATTAGAAAGAATGGGGAAGCCTCCTATATTCCAGAAGTACTTAAACCAAAATTGATTGCCACAGCTTAACTCTGTGTATTTGTCGTGCCTGAATTCAGTATTCCGAGTGTGTATGTTTGCATAAGTATCTTATTTCTCGGACCTCAACAATCTTGCAACAGGAAAGGCAAATGAGCCACCCACTGTGTTCTTAATATTTTGAGGAATGAAAGCAGTGTTTGTGTGAACATACAGCCCTTGAAAGAGAAGAGTTAACGGACTCCCTGTTACCTGAGATCCTCTTGATGCTTTCAAAAGGATTAACCTCTGATCATTACAAGAGAAAACACCAAGCTTTGCATCCCACCTGACTGGATGCAGCCAAACCTGAAGCTGCAGATTAACACTTTGGTAACTCTGTCTGTACTCTTGAAGGCACTGGATATAACTTCCACATTCCTTTTTAGTAACTGGTCATTATTTCCTATTCAAATTTAGCTGCTTTTTAATATAATTAATATAATTAAATTAGCAAAAATTCATACATTATTCAGTTTCCACAAAATGCATAGTTCTTTAGCCAAGTTCATTTCTATTATCAGCTTTGAAAATAGGCTATTACCACAGCCTTTTGAAAAGCCTAATAAGTCACAATACAACCCATGTGATTTTAAACTCCCACTACCATCCACATTAATAATAGTGTATGGAGAGCTAAAGTTCCATATTTAGGATATAACTCTGCATTAAATCATGTTTATAAGCCTTTTGTTATTCTAGGAATTCTTCCTTTACTCTAGGAATTCTAATTCTAGTGCACATCTCAAACACATTAATCAGATATAAGTGTCACAAGAGGTACATCCAATTTACCATAGAGGCAAGCCCCATTAAGTTGTGCCATTTAAACCCCATTCATTTGAATGGGATTGAGTTAAGCACCCTGCAATCCATCAAACACACCTCTAGCTGAACTGTATTCAGATGAGGAAGGTGACGAATAATGATGCTGCTGCAGCAGCAGCTACTTTTAAAAATTTGAGGTGTATTGAAATGTTACGAACAACTATCCATTACACTGGACTGCTTATCTTGGCCTAAGTGCACTATCTAATTCTTTTCCTGGTCATTTTCTCGGTTTAAGACTTTTAGTTGGAGTTGGACCAAGTTTTCAGCCTCAGTTTTAGAATGTTTAATTTCAGGAAATTTAAGAACTAAATTCTAAGCAGCATTGCAGCTGGTGACCACATTCCTCTAGCTGGGGTGGGCATAAGCAGAAACTGTCAACTGACCATTACTAATTAGGCATGTGATTATAATTAATTTCCCCCTGCTTACCAGTTGGATTTGCTGTCCACAGTATTGTCACTGCAACTTGATCAGAGCATGCATACTGGCTAATGGTGATGTTCTGTACGTCACCAATCACATGTTTTCCCACTGAGTTCAAATAAGGAGTGCAGTCTGGAAAAGGAAAATAGCCTAATTTAGTACTGTTAAAGTCAGTGCTTACCTAAAGAGACCTCCAAACCAACCAGTTGTACCATTGTTCACTCACAGTAAATATACCTTGTGTCAATCAGGTCTCTAGTTCAGATAATTCAGTTCCATTCTCTAAGCCACCATCCCCAGCCTGGAGCTCTCAGACATATTGGAGTACAGCTGCCATCATCCCCAGCCAAATAGAGGAGGCCAGGTTGGGAAAGCCCCTCAAACCAACTGCCCTGAGCGTAATACCACAGTAAGGCAGCTGCTCGGAAGGTTAGTCTACAAGCTGTGACTAATGTGGAACGCATTAGGAGTCCTGTGTCCAGTTCTGGGCACAGCAGTCTAAGAAAGATGCAGGCAAGCTGAAAGGGGTTCACAGGAAGGCAGCAAGGATGATCCAGGGACTGCAAACAAAGCCCTAGGAGGAGAGATTGAAAGAAGTGGGCATGTTAAGCCTTGAGAAGAGAAGGCTGCAGGGAGATGTGATGGCACTCTGCAAGTACTTGTTGTTACAAAGAGGTAGGACAGGATGTCTTCTCAATCATCCCGGAGTGAAGGACACAGAAAGACATGCTCAAGTTTCAGGAATTCAGATTCTGGATGGATATCAGGAAAAATTTCCTGACTGTGGGAGGAGTACAACAAAGGAAACAATTCCTTAGAGAGGTTGTGAGCTCTCCCACACTAGAGGCATTCAAAATGCAACCGGACAGCCATCTGAAAGGGATGCTTTAACTGGGACTCCAGCACTGAGCGGAGGGTTGGTCCCAGTGGCGCTCTGGCCCCTTCTATGACTGTTGTCAAGAGCTGCTTCTTTTCGGCATGCAACCCATCTAGTGAGGCAACTGCATCAGCTGCCTGATCAAGTTTAAGGTTCTGCTCCTCATGTATAAAGCCCCAAAATACTTGGGATCAGAGTATTTGAGAGGGTGCTTCACCACCCTGCCAGGTCACTAAGGTCATCAAATGAAGCACTCCTGGTGGTTCCACATGGACCAGCGCCCTGGCTGGACTCATGCAGAGTAGACCTTTAAGTGCATTGGCTCCTTCTCTACAGACTTCTGTGCCAGTTGATGTCAGGAATGCACCAGCACTGCTCTGGTTTTGGTCCCTGCTGAAGATACTTACATTTGTAGAAACCTTCCTTGGCTAACCAGGCACAGTTTTATTGGCATATTCTCATTTTAAAGGATTTAATTCTTTATTTTGATGATGAGCAAAATGCCAAGTCCTCTATATATTCTTCGCCACTTAGATATTTTATTAGATGTAGATCAGCCTGTAAATCTTGCAAATAATTATATTAGCAAAACCTGTCATTACCTGTTTATTGAAAGAATCCTTAAGTACTCAGAGCTCCTTTACTAAATGAATGGTATATAAAAGCTTTAAATAAATAATAAACAAACAAGTACTGGTCTTAGCATCTCTTGTTTGCGCAGTCCTTTGCTAAATGAAAATGGTACTTTTGGTATCTTCATAATGTCCATGTAAACTTTTTGTTTTTTTGTAAGAAGAAAACTGATTAATAGTCATAGGGGAGGGAGGAGGGGGAGAGATTCAAATCAAGTACCTCTGAAAGCTACAGGGAATTAAGTGTGCCTTAGAGAAATATGCAGTTTATTTTTTGGCTTTTGAAATAGAGCAAACAACTAAGAACAGATTTGGTCCTGTTAAGTGGAATTCTGCTGCAGCAATTCAAATGAATGACAGAAAGAACTTCCTATTACTATAACAGTAATTTGTCTTTTAATAGGAATTTTGGAGCAAGAACTTCCTGCAACATCTGGATCCAATTAATACTAGGTTTGTACTCTGGATCCATGTTTCTAGAAGGTTTATTCTCCTAAATGACCATTTGCCAAAACCTATGAATATCTAGGTTAAATACCTTTCTTTCAGTGAATAAGCAATTGGAAAAATTATTTTAACACTGAACAAATTATCAAAAACATTTAGTCATAAATGAAGCCCTGTATATCAAGCATAGATTCCCTACTTCCTGCACAACATGGGTGCTAACCAGGCAATGGAACATGCATTTCAAGCTGAGTTGCTAGTGCCACTGCCTAGTATCTTCTGAAAGTGGAAATTAGGTAATCACTGCCCTTATAAAGCAGATACTGGGGACCAGATTCCTTTTTGCAGCCTCCGCTAGAGCAGTTATTGGACAGACTCAGCAGGGAGGAAAGAAAAGTCTTGTGGCATAAACAGACATCCAGACATGGGATTTCATGTATTGATACCAATCCATCATTCGGGCCAAATGTTTAATGTATCTGAGACATGAATTCCATTTACAGGTATATCATCTAAGTAGGTGGTTAATATTACAACTTGACAAAGAACAAATTAAAACATGATGCTAAGCATTAGTAGATGTAACATTATGTTATATTCTCTTTTTAAAACCATGCTGGTTTTTAATGAGACCAACTTGTGCTTTCTTTCCCAAAGATGCAGATTTCAAACCAAGCCATCTTTTGTGCTTAGGGCCAGAAGATTGGTTTTAAAAACTGCTGTTTTCCTGTAAAACTTTCAACATCTATGCATACCTGCCAACCTGAATTAAAGTAGCACTTTCTATGAAAAGGAGCAACAGGGACCCCACATCCATAGTCACAGAATTAAGAAAAAGAGAGACCCAAAACCCAGTGGCTCTCTCTCAACTAGACAGGTGGAATGGTGTGAATTACCACTATCAGGAACCAAAACAAATAAACAACACGTTGTAGGAGGACCTTTTAAGGTGTCCTCTACTGCTGTTTCTTGAGGCTGGCATTGACAGAGGGGTTTATCCTGCAGACTCACAGTGGAACGGAGGGGCACATTTCATGACCTGCTACTGACAGTAGATTTATACACAAAGAGCTTTCTGCTTCTAGGACAAATGCCTTCCCTGCTACTAGCAAATTCCTCTCCTCGGGCACAGGGGTTTGTCAACTCAATCCTAAAAGTGAGTAGATCTGGGATTAGGATAGCTCCATAAATCATTAATGGCAGGATTTTAAACAGTGGGCAGATCACATTCCTAGCAGGTAAAGCAAACCAGCCAAAATTAACACTTCAAATATTCATTTCTAACTGGTTAGCCTTAGTGAACTGGATCCAGATTTGCTAGTCACTAATCAAAGCCTTAGATAAAAACTGTAACGATTTATATGTATAGAGCCAGGCCCATGAAAGAAATTAGGGCTGTGACCATAATTATTGTAAACCCCCAAACTGAGGCATGAGATCATCCCACTCAGGGCAGAAAAAGCAGTGAAAGCAACCTTTGACATCGACATCCCATCCTCCTGCTCTGCATTTGTTGCAAGACATGGGGGTGGGGGGTCGCCCATACAGCTGCAGTGCTTCAGAGGAGGAAGGAAAGAGCAACAGGGGTCTCCAGATAGCTAATGTGCTGGCTTGTCCAGTCTCCTCCCCTCCCTACCCACCAAAACACTCCCTTTTCCCCTCCTTCGAGGTTGGATTCCTGACCCCGCATGGTTCTTTCCATGCTGGCTATGAGGGGGAGGGAAGCCAAGCCACAGGTCTACCTTTCGAAGGTTCAACTTCTGAAACATCCTATGGTACCTCAAATGCTGTCTAGCAGCCATAGGATTGTGACCTAAAAGCCAAGGTAAGACATTAAGAAAAGCTGCTATCCAGTGAACATAAATGAAGTGATTTAAAAAGTGATTTAAGAACCGACTTTTATATATTTCATTCTACTTCAGTGAAAGACAAGAAGCTCAAGTAGAGACTGAAGTTTGAATCTGTGGCCACTACAAATCCTGAGCTGATTTTTTAAATAATCTAGTTAGGCTACTGAAAATGCATCTAAAATGTACTTCAGTCACTTCGTATCATTCTGAAAATACAAAATCAGTCAGCAAGCATCTCACCACCACCATCATTATGGAAAACAGAAAGTTTGCCCCTACCAGGGTACAATGAGAATGAAATAAATGGTACATCTCACTGCTTACTCAAAGGAAAAGGTGTACAGTGAGTTCTGAATGCTGTGGACTGAAATCCAAGAACAACCCCTATGTTCTACTTTGGGTTGTTTCTCCTTTAACAACCCAGAGTTCCAGATTCACATGCCACAGAGAGTAACACAAAGGTGGGACATTCCTGGGCTGTTTAATGCACTGGAAGCAAGCAAGTGCTTGGCAGCTGGTAAACTTACAGGACCCAAAACTATCTCAGGTTAACAAACCATGGGTTATTTAATTGTGCAAACTAGGTCCATTCTGATCTTAGCCTGGAGGCTGGGGAAAAATCTAAATAGACAACTAACTAACTAACTAGATAACTAAAAGCAACCCATTCATCAATCCTCTGTTTATAGCTGCTTGTCTCTTTTTAAAGCATCATTTAATACACTGTATTTTCAGGTAATTAAATATGTTGATGAATAAAATGAATAAGGTCATTGCCTAGACAAAGCAGTCTGACCAAGAGAAAGGAGAACTTACTGTCATACTTAAAGGTGATATTAAGCAGTCCAGTGTTCTTTCCCATTGGTGACAAACCCTGCAAAGAGACAAATGAACAGACAATGTGATGCAAACTATTTTCTGTGGCCCAGATAATGCATTAATGCATTTAGTTACACCATTTTTGATTAATTTTAGCTGAATATTTGAACTGCCTCCAATGAAAAATATTCTCTTTAAAGCAATATTGTGACTGTAGTTTCTGATTCAGAATGAAAATCAGGAGCAAACATTAAAAGAGAATATGAAAGATATACCTCTGTGGCAGCTGTTTCATACATTCAGGTTGTTAATTGATGTGCATAGTTGCATGAACAGAGTCTGAAACACTGATAATGTGGAGAAATATTTCTATGCAATGGTTTCTTTTTCAGAAAAGAATGCAAAACTTTACAGCAGCTTGCAATCCAGTAAAGCAAATGCAGATTGCTCAGTCTAGAGGTGCTTTGGAATGTCTTTATTTAGATCTAGATTTTGTGCAAGAAATGGTACCCCTTCCTTGAAGCAATCTGATTAATGAAATTTTTACTAGAATAGGTTCCAACATTTTCTGATGTATTAGGGACACTGGGAAGAGAAGCAAAATATACCACACTAAGGCACCCTGCCAGCAAGCCATGGGTTGGTTATTCTCTGAACAACCTACAAGATACCCTACGATTTTGCTTGTGCGGCTTGCCCACCCTATTCCCCCTGCCAGTCCCAATGCATATCCCAGGTGCTTTTGCATCGGGTCTCCTTGTTGCCTTGGTCCCTATGTCAGCACCTTTTCTGCGCTTGGGCCACCGGGTTTGCCAGCAACAGAGGAAAAGTCCCCCTGCCTCGCATCAGATCACCAAACAGAGTTAATATACAGATGGATACATTTGCCACCCATTTTCCCAAGGGAGCTTGGAACTGAACAATAATATAGACTAACTCTACCACATTTAACCTGCATACTGATATCTCAGCTCTTGCAACATCCTAGTCCAGGGGTCGGCAACCCGCGGCTCCGGAGCCACAAATGGCTCTTGAACCCTTCTGCTGCAGCTCCGTTGCTCAAAACACGCGCCGGCACAGCCGCTGATCTGCTCGAAGCTCCACTCAGCACTCAGGAACACAGCGCTAGCTAGTTAAGTAAATCAGCTAGTTAAGTTAATCGCTACATTCCTCTGCTAAGCAAGCTTCCTGCAGGCTCTCATGTTACACGAAATGCTGCTGAAAAGATTCTCTTTGTCCCAATGTAATCTCCTTCATCTGAATGTTAAAAGCTGCGCTTGGGACCTGTCACAATTCACAGCACTTGACTGTTTATCTGCTAATCAGTCACTAAACAAACCAGACCCTGGCTGATTTACTGAGCCCCAGCCCCGCAAAGGGTTTTGTGGCTCCCGGTGTTTTGGTGTTTTCGGTGTTTTCTTTTGTGTGGGAAACGGGTCCAAATGGCTCTTTGAATGTTAAAGGTTGCCAACCCCTGTCCTAGTCCATTTCAAAGTGAATAAAAATCAATGTTTTTTTAAATAAAAAGTCTTTTGAAGAACAGTCTATCTAAAATTAGTTTTCTCTTTATATTATATACATATATATTTTACTCCAAAAATTATTCATCATGAAATAAGGATTAGTTTTTCATTATGTAGCATGAGGCTGTATATTCATGCAGTGTTTAAAGTCTTTGGTAAATTAATTCCATTAATCTATTTGCAATGCCATGCTCTTCCAGACGTTTCTAAAAGATTATTGGGTAACTTTTCTATCTAGAAGATTTTATCACAGATGATTGGCTTTACAGTTCTCAAAAGTGTGAATTTATGTCTACAGAGATCACATGCTTCTCCACAGCAAAAATGTTATAAAAGAAACATACTGAGTTGAGAAAAAGACCTTAATCCCATGGTTTCTTTGCAAATCTATGTGCACAGACTAGACCCCCTTAAAGTGCTAATTTCCATAAAGTCAATGAATAGCAGAAGATTGCTGGGAGTGGAATAGATCTGCACAAGAAGCTAAGTGTGAGAAGGGTAAAAATTAAAATACCCCACAAGTCCTTGGACCCTTTTGTGTATAGTCTGAGGTTTAACATATTATTTCCCTGAAGAACACTTATAATGGCAACAAGCCAAAAAGAGACCCAGTTTGGGAATATTTCAATGAAGGTCCTCTACCTACAGCTAAGGCAGGCATGTGTGCAAAGCCATGATTTAAATCTAGCCTTACTGACTAGTTATTTAAATCATGATTTGAATCAAATCCACCCTGGCCTATGTCTTCCTCCATTTCAGAACATGCCTTGCTAATGGTTGCTTCCTTTTACCCTGAAACAAAAACACCCACTGCCTGCTCTGCGGTTGCTTATGGCTCTCCACTACCCTCCCTGCTTGCATCCTCCTCCATTGCTAGCAGTCACATTTTGACATTTGTAGTTTTTAGGGGCATGGGATGGAGGGTGCTGAGAAGGAAGGAAGGAAATGCGGCCTAGTAGTTATTAGTATAAAATGAGCACAGGCCATATGCTATGCTGTGCAAGCTAGGCTGAGTTAGACTGCTGCTGACCATTTATATTGTTACTTATTTTATATTGTTATTTTTATATTGTTATTTTTTGTATTTTACTTCATGTTGTGAGCCGCCCCAAGGCTTCGGCAAATGGGGCGGCATAGAAATGTTTTAATAAAGAAATAAAGAAACTTGACCAATTGACCACTTTGGATAAGTTCACTATTAGAGGGTGGTAACTGGAGCTGATAGCCAGGGTATAAAGTTTATTGAACTGCGCCACAAATGTGTGAAGACAGCTTTATTTTTATGGCACCGGTTTAAGCCTGTCAATAAAAACTAGCTTTGAGCCTACATTGTGTCTTTGCTTCCCTCTTGAAATGACAAATTGGCAAATTACGGAGTGCAATTTACCCAACACAGGACGGCAGTGGCACAAGCAAAATCATAAGGAGCAGCAAGGGGAGGAGTTGCTGCTCAGGTGGGTGACCTGGCAACCTAGGATAAGATCACCTTGCTGAGCTCAAGTGACACAATAATCCACCATGTATATCAATAACCTTAAAGCAAGCCATGGGTTCTAAGGGTGGCTTGTCCATGAAAAATCAGCCACCCTTCAGAAATTGTGTTGCGTTTGCATGACACTGGGGCACTGTGCAGAGTACAGCTGGAACCTCATCCGTCTTCTCAAATCTCAAAAAGGTTGTCACCACCACTGAGACAGCCCTGCTCCTGAGACACCCCCAGTGAAACTTGGGTGACAAAAGCATCCAGAGCAAGGACTTAGGGCCAAACTAAATATATGTTTAAAGAAAGGCCACATATTTTTCCCTACGTTTTTTACTTGAGAGAAGTTGCAGGGCGAAAACTTGAATAAGAACTCTAGCATGGGAAAGAGGTAGGCATTAATGGGATAGCCCATGCCAATGTTTTTATTGCAAAGTACTGAAGATGAAACTCAAATACTCTGGCCACCTAATGAGAAGGAAGGACTCCCTGGAGAAGAGCCTGATGTTGGGAACAATTGACGGCAAAAGAGGAAGGGGACGGCAGAGAATGAGATGGCTAGATGGAGTCACTGAAGCAGTTGGTGTGAGCTTAGGTAGACTCTGGGGGATGGTGGAGGACAGCAGAGCATGGAGGAACACTGTCCACCGAGTCGCAATGGGTTGGACGCAACTTCACAACTAGCATAGCATAGCATATAACTGATTCAGAAAGCCAGTGGTTCGCAACTTTGCAGTCAAAACGGCAGGTGTGCCCTGCAGGCAGGATCACACCCCTAACATGGAGTGAGGAAGTGTGAAAGCCTCATGCACTCATAACCTGGAGTCCTGCATCAAGACCCCTTTACCCACTCTAGAGTAAAAATGTAAAGGGAATGCCTGCTTTGAGTCTCAGCTATTGAATGAGGCACATAAGATTGTAATTGAGGCACACTGTAATTGTGATCTGCCCAGAGGTGCTGTGGCACAATTAAGCGGCGTAGAAGTGTGTTAAATAAATAAATAATAAGATTCATTTACAGAGGAAGGCAGTTCTTAAGACAGCAAATCATTTCAGGGCTTTAAAAAAATCAAAATCAGCACCTTAAAATGCTACCATAAACAGCCAGGGCTGATCAAAGCAGATTGGAGCAACATGCCTGCATAAACAGCGCAGGCCTTTACCGCATACTATGTTTTATGCAACCCAAGAAAATGGCCTGCATAAATAAGACAATCTTCCTGGGTCCCAGGGCAACTTATGTTCTCTTTCCAGCTATTGCTGTGCTTATTTACAAGGGCTTCCTTAAGATCAATGTTGTTACTCTTTAAGGATTTTAACTCAAATATAGTAAATAAAAAACATTCTGTGTACAATATTTTACCTACCTCAGGGATGATAAAAACAAACAAGCAAACAAATGCTGCTCTTTGTAATGTTAGCTGAAATCAGTGGTCAAAAATTACAGAAAGGGATTGACAAACGATACACTTTGGATGCAACCATGCACCAGTCAGTCACATCTAAATACCATCAGATGAAAACAGAGTTAACCCATGACTAGCAACAGCCTCATATTCTTCATTAGTGACTCCTTTGAGTATGCTGTCAAGCATTCGTTAAATATGCCTTTTCAGAAAGGCCATATAATCTATGCAGATCTATGATCATGCTGCAAATCTGCAACTGTACCGAAAAAGAGAGCACAGAACTGGCCACAGATCTCTGCTTCCTACGAAACTCTGTTTTCATTCAACCCAAAAGGTTTCCAGTCTGTAAAAAAATTTTAAAAAAACAATAAAGCATACAACTGAATGAGCAATGCTGAAGGATTGGCTGATTAATGCTCCCAGTAGTTGAGAACATGGTCCTATATAACTTCTGACATCTCCTCGAAGATCAACAAAACCAAAAGAAATTAAGTATCCAAATCAGAGAAACTATGAAAACTTGCATAATTTATAGAGGCTGCAGAATTTAGCTTTCTGCAGCAAACATCGGGATTTCTTTGAGGCAGAAGAAGTGCTCCCAAGCCTTCCTATATGTGCCAGCCACAGAATAGATTTTTTCCCC